AACACTCCGGACATTTGAGAACACTCGAGAAATGTAGAAAACACGAGCCGTAGGCGAGTGTTTTCTACATTTCCCTCGTGTTCTCAAATGCCCGTCGAGTTTTATCACAGTGTTATACACGGCTTAGGCTTCTTTATTTGTTAAATATAATATTGATAATTAAAACTCATTACAAGTTAAATATCTACATACGTGACTCGTCAACTCACGTGCACTGCAGGTAAAATTCCTTGCGGTCATGTGTTTGGGTGGAGTATTTACAATTTGTGAACATTTTCTGTGTCGCAAACGATATACTGCCTTGAGTAGTGCAAAAGTCACAATAAAAAGCATCATAACTGCCAACAAACTCAAATTCATCCTTTGGACTATTGTTTTTTCCTCATTTATTACCTTTGCTTCATTTAATTCTATTCTAATTATTCAATATCTTCCTTGTGCCCCGAACCCTGTGCACTAACATCAATAACAGTTTTGTGCCGTTGGGTCGAAAAACTACAATTTGGCAGACTGTCAAACAAAATACGGTCTGGCATGATGAAGATTAATTCCTGGCCTTAAATGTTGTGGTTGTTAAAATTTTCCACGTATCACGGAGAATACACATCACATGTTCTTCAGCAACGTACGAATAGCGTTTACTTATCTTGTTGACGGAAAACAGAGGCTGCTAATATCCCGGGAGGGTACTCCCAGAAAAGTTGGGTGGGGGTGTGCGGCCCGCCTCCCAAAACCCTTACACTATCTATGACCAAAATCTGGGATTTTGGCTATCCTATTTATGACCTGACTAAAAATTCGATACCCTGTTTATAACCGTTGCAGCTGGCACAGTTACCCTAGAAATAATTTATGAAGAGCTTTTGTTGTTTATTGATGATGATGGAAAACTAGCTTCTTCTAAGAAGCATACGCAATTCAAGATTAGAGTGTAATATTTAGTCGTGCAAGTAAAAAATCTTTAACACGAGACTACAAATTAAAAAGCGTGAACACTATTTAGACATCACGGAGATCTTGGCATTGTGTAACAAATGCAGTTATTTTGAATTTTCCCATGCCATGGAGATACTGTAAATGTCCATAGATGCTTGAATATTAGTTCATGTAATCGGACCCAATCATAACTGGGGATACGTATACAGGAGGGATTTCAGTTTCAATTTTGAGCTTAAGTACAGGGACTCATTATCTGTGTTGCGAATGTATTCTAAATGATTCCTTACTGACGTAAACAACATTCGTACTCAGTCTTCCGGTCAGTCTTCCCTCTTTGTCAAGTCACGTTTTTCTATAACTCCATCAACACCTGCAATTGGCCCATAGTCACGTTTCTTGGGCGTTTTCTCGAGACTCTCTTTAGAAACTACAACATTATCTTTCAGATATCGCCACGATTCTACTTAAATGTTGATATTTGCTCTCAAATACCTTCGAGTGGCGATAACAGGCATTTTGTTCATGGCATTTCATATATAGGTAGAGCTATAACTCTTATCTGACTCAAGTTCGAATTATTTGCCCAAGGACACACAATGGATGGAAGAGACACTATATTTTGTTGTTTATTTTTTCCAGCTGGTGAATTTATCATGAAACTTTTCTTTCCAGGCCCAGTTCACTCTCTAATGCGTTTTCGGAGATGTGTAAGTTTCGCACAGACCACGATTCTGTATTTGCAATTTATTTCTTGTCAACGGTAAAGCACTCGAAAACGCTGCCGCTCTGCCAAATTACTGCAACTGACAGTTTCAAAAGCCTCCGACGGTTTTCACTCTGCACAATATATTAGTGCTGCAAAAAAAAAAAAATAAATAAATGAATAAATAAATAAATGAAATATAATTGAAAGAAAAAAATTCTGTTACAAAACAACAACGTGTACTGGAGACCCAAAAAACCACGAAGGCCAATTTTTTGTATTTCCTTTTGTAACTGATCGCTGGCATTACTTATTTAGCCTGAAGAAAGTTTAAGACCGATGGAAAATCTGAACAGCCTGCTAATTACGAAATCATCGAACGCAACATATAGAAAAGAAAAAAAAAAAAAGAAAAGAAAGAAAGAAAACATTCCTCTTCACAAAACAACAAAGGTAAACTGGAGTCGAAAAAACTACAAGGGCCAATTTTTCGTCTTCCCTTTTGGAATTGATCGTTGGCATTACATTTTTAGTTTGAAAAAGGTTTTACACCGATAAAAATTCTGAACATGCAGGTTCAGCTAACTACGAAATCATCGAACATAATATAGAGAATTAGTTTTTGCCAAGGGCCGCCCTAGATCGATCAATGCCGTCATCACTTAAGCTCCCTACTACCGCAATGCCAACAATACATATACAATACAAGGTTACTTCAAAACACAGTCAAAACATTGCGATACCAGACGTTCACATTTGGAAGTCGAATCTGCGCAGAAAATTGGCCAAAATATCATTACTTGAGGTACAGTTTATGGGAGCTCAGTCATGGTCTTTTGGCCCACCAACAAAATTATGTTTACATTTAAAGACCCAGTTTTGGTCAAGATATGCATTCCGCGCTATAAGAATTGGAAAACAATAGAACCTTCGCTACTTTGTAAACTAAAACAATAACAGACACGAAAAAGGGATTATGGCTAATACTGGGTCTTGGAAACCTGAGAGTGGTAGTTTACCAAGACAGAAGGAAAGCAAAGAGATAATAATCCATAAGGAAAAAAGAATGGTTAAAGATGGAGAGGATTGGCACGCTATACAAACGACGAAATTGAACATTTAGGCTAAATTTTCAATATGTGCAAATCGTGACGTAGTCTTTTAACAAATTGACGTCGTCAGTTTTTCATGCATTTGTCCTGCTATTCATAATACATTTTGGCATAGCATTGTCCTAGTAGCTGTGGATCTGCGAGGCGTAGCTAGTCACTTAGTGAACATACAGCCATGCTATTACGAAATTCATGTTCAATAAAAGGACAGAGACAAAAAATTGACATTGACGTCAATTTCTTATTTACAAACAAGAAAAACCAAACCGATCGCCGAGGAAGGACTTGAGCTCGAAAAAGTGCAAGCGTGTACGAAAATGATCCCGAAACTCGCGGCATCGAGATATATACTACCTGAAGTTCAGTCAAATAACAAAGTGCCACACGAATTCAAATATAAAATGCAGAAATTTCTGTAAGCAACCTTTGTTCCTTTTCGGAGATTCTTGAAAGGGTACTTAATCATTTCTGAATTCAATCGACTCGTATAAGAACTTTAAAAAACACGGAAAATACGACAGTTTTCCATTTACGGAGTTCTACGACAAACTCACGTTTCACTCTTCACTCCGTGTTTAATCAATGATGATTTGCTATTGAAACAGACCCTCCTAGTAGCAATTTGTCCCTTACTATCGACACCAAGCTAATCTTTGACGTGTTGTGTTGGCGTGCACGTGTCCATTTCCATGATCTCGCTTACACCGATTCAATCCTTCGAGACCAATACATCTGGAATGTAAAAAAATGTTAATCTAAACCGCAGATTTCCGAAATTTTAAGTCTGTGTCATTGACAGTTTGGCAAAGGAAGTTGTGGTTTCTCACTGATTACATTTCACGCTAGGAAGATATGCCCAGTATAGAATTTCGAGATATTACAATTGATTATTCAGTTTTTCTGACAAATACTGCTTTTATTTCTGCGTCGAATTTTGTTGCGTGTCAGCTCGACAGATATTGCTACCTAAGCCCAGTGACTGAGGTTTTGCCGCAATATCTTCAACTGATAGCTATTACCGTTGTATTGTTTGTTGTTTCTTTGAAGCTTAGATTGTAAAGGTGTCGAAATCATTTCATTGCATCAGTTGTCTTTGAGCATTTGAACTGGAAAGAGCTTGATTCGTAGACAGGAGAGAACGTCGAAATCATGTGCAAAACGGAAAGATTTCTTGAAAATGAATCGCCGGAGCGCACACGTCTTTCATATGATGACAAACCGCTAACGATGAAGGAGTTAGATGTGGCTAAAATTTACAACTTTGACTTCAAATACGGCCAAAAGTCCGCTGGGGAATTCAACGACGATCTTGCAGCCATCGATCTAAGCATGAAGTACAGTCCTAAGGTAAACTGCCATCGAAAGATTAAGCGGAGAAAGTACCCTAAGTTCAGGTTTGCTCCTAGTCTGGGGGACATTAAGGAGAACGAACTGTTTGACTCACAACTGGAACATTTAAGGAGCGTCAAGAAAGATTTAGCCGCCATTCACGAAGAACGAGCTCTGAATTGTGGGATACCTGTAGTGAAGGATGAAGGTCGGCATCACCGCCACAAACGACACTCTAGAAGTTCCCATGGAAGAGCTTAATTGGAGGAAAAGATGAACGTGTCTTTTTTGTCATGAATTAACGGCGAAAGTACTTGTGAGTCTTGTGACTGAAATGTAGCTCGACAGGACCACAATTCGGTTGATAACCTTGTATAAAAAAACAATTAATCAATATATAGATTAATACGAGCTCATTACTCCGGCCCAAATATGGTATCATTATTTAGCTTGTTTACTTTGATACTCTGTCGCTGTTTTGTAAATAACGAGGTACAAATCATTTATCTTTTACTATTTTTGTCTATAGAAGCTGCAAAATGTATGTTTTTTTGTAACTTTGGATATAAATAAACTAAGGTTGATTTTATGGGTTGTTGTTAGATTCTTTTGACTCTAAACCCAAAATTATAAAACATAATCATCTTCAACGAATTACTTGTGTATACCTTGGGTTTCTCTAATCCCTACCCTAAAATGATTCAAACTCAGCTCTGAAATGATCTCCAAATCGAACCTGAAATGATCCTTAAATCATCCTTAAATCGAACCTAAAATGATCCTCAATTAGTTTGCGGAATGACGTTTTATCCAAAATACCATGAAACGTCTCAAATAAATAAAAGAAATGGAAGTTCTGAAGTTTAGATTTTGAATGCAGCTTTCACATGCTAAATATGTGAAAAAATTCTGCGATTACAACACTTTCGATTTTTTATGTGACTTCCATTTTACAACCATCTTTGAAGACTCTTTTCTACAATTTGTCAACTGATGTGGAACTTATAGGATCAATATGAGCAAAATATCAGGCACGTTCAACAATTTTATGTTGCTGCTAATGAATGTAACAAGACTGAATGAACTTGTGAACGATAAGTTAAAAAAAATCGTACCAGAGAGTGATAAGAACAAAATAAAATAAGAATAAAACCTGGAAGACTTCACAAGAGAAATTAACTTCACATCATTTGACTTAATAATAAAAATGTTGTGGGTTTTTCTCGGTGCCGGGATGTATTGGGAGTTACTCTCACAAAGCGTTCGTGTTAGTATGAAATGTGCACGCCCCGCTTTTTACAGTCCTGCTCAAGCAAACTGCGACGTTGATTGCCACACATAATGCCGTGTTTGTTTCGCATGACGAAGATATTGCGCAAACTTGAAAATTATTGTACAAGTAAATCGTTTGAATAGTCGTAGTTGTTGTTATCATCAACATATCATCCAGAATGACCAGCATGAGGGACAGAGAGAGTGGGTCCGGAAGAAGAGACGCTCTACGAACGTTATTGCTTTGAACATTTCAGCGGCCACCATTTACAACAGACGCAAGGTGACTGGTATTAAGACACAACTAACTATTACGTAATGCACGATGGATTTCAGTTTCAATTTTGAGCTTGTACACAGGGAAATCAAGATCTCTGTCGATTTTTAAGATCCCCGATAACGTGTCACGTTTTTCGGTGACCCTCCATAGTGCAGCCAGCAGCACCTGCAATTCCTTCATTCACGCTTTCTCGTCGTTTTCTTGAGACCCTCTTTTTAATAGTAGCCACAACATAATTTTGAGATATCGCCTTGATTCTTCTCAGTTACTGATATCTGCTCTCAAACGGTTTGCCGTACTGATAACAAGCATTTTAAGCATGCATTGTTTCAAATTGTTTCATTTATAGGTAGCTCCTCAAGCATCTGGCTCAAGTTTCAGATATCTGCTAAATGCCACAAGAAGTATTTGGTCTATGCCACTGTATTTATGACTATTTTTGTTTAATTTTGTTCACCAACTGTTGAATTTATCATTAAGTTTTCCCTTTCAGACCTCGTCCACTGCAAAGCATTTTCGAGGATGTGCAAGTTTTGTACAGATCACATAAACGTTTTATTTCGCAATTTTTTTTCCTGTCAACGGTAAAGCACTCGAAAATGCTGGAACGCTTTCGGAAAGCACGTAACTGTCATCTGCGCATGCGCATGTGATGTGAATGACGTAACCGACAGTTTCGAAAGCCTCTGTAAGGAGTTTCGTTTTCCACATTTACGTGTCTCTACTCTGGAGAGCGAATTCAAATGTAAGCACTTTTGATTTGCTTACATTAACATACAGAAAACTTTATTTTTGCTCAAATTTTGGATAGCTAACACGTTAGCACAACCGACTATTATCATGAAGATAAACAAATCAAAGAGAAAGACGAAAGAAAATCTGTAAAGGAAAAGACCCAACTGCAATTTAAAAAAAATCCTATGATAGTGATACCCAACACGATGCGCATTTTAAAATTACATATATTAAGTGTGGAAGCGTACTCTCACGAATACAGTCAAGTATCTGCGTATGCCAAAAGGTAGGTATTGAGAAAGGTATAGACTCTTTCAATTTCAGTATCAAGCCAGTTTCAATTTCGATGATTCTACTCAAAGATAACAAACCAGTTTTCACTTAAGCTTCATTTGACCGACGTCGCTGTCGTCATTGCAATGTCAACAATACATACACAATACAAGGTTATAACATTACCATACCAGACACTCACATGTGAAATCGAACTAGCGTTCAGATCATTGCCTGAGAAGCAGTTTTTAATGCATTTCTTTTGTTATTGATCCAACATTTTGTCATAACATCGTCAAAGTAGGTGTGGATATGGATCCCTGAGGAGCAGTCAAGTGCATTTTTAGAAGATAATGTTATCACCAAATTCATGATCAATAACCTGAGGACAAACCCATTAAAAATTGACGTCAATTTGTTTGTTTCTAACAAAAAATCCAACGTGATAAACGTCGAATTTTGCTTTTAAAAGTGCGAGCGTAAGCCAAAAAAAAAAATCAAGGCATTCACGTCATCATGTACTTCACTCAAAGTATAGAGCAGAATTTCGGTAACTAGCATTTATTATTTTCCGAAATTCTTCAAAAACACGCTGAGCTACCGAGTTCAGGCACTCGTATCAGTACTTTGAACATGGCAGCATACAACAGTTGCCGGTCATTTTCTCTGACAGTTAATTCCAATTTGAATTAAACGCCATGTCTAGTTGGTCATTTTGTGTTTAAAACAATCTCGTTTTAGATGCAGTACGAGGCTTGTTATCGAAAGCCAACAACGCTAAACTGTGGGGGGACCGGAAAGGCTAGTTTGTGGTGAAATTCTTACTGAAGCTCGAGCAATGGCGTCATTTGTGTGTCTGTATTCTTACTGGGAATAAAACTATCACGTGAAGGCTCGGAAGAAAAATCGACAACATTGAGTTTAAACTGAGAATAATCATGCCTTTCTTCTGTTATTGATCATAATTTTTGAAATAACATCTTCAAAGTAGCTGTGGATATGGATCCATGAGGTGTAGTCAAGAGAATTCTTTGACAATGTTATCACGAAATTCAAGATCAATAACCTGAGGACATACCCATTAAAAATTGACGTCAATTTATTTTTTTCTAACAACACGATAAGCGAAGAATTTTGCTTTTAAAAGTACGAGCGAAAAGCGAAAAGAACAATCACGGAACTCACGTCATCTTGGACTTCAGTCAAACTACAGAACAGAATTTGGTTAACTAGCCTTTAAGCCATTCATGAATAGTTAGTCATTTCCTGTTTAAAATAATCCCACTTTAGATACAGTATGTGGCTTGTTATCGAAACCCAACAACGCCAAACTGTGGTAGAAAAGTCAATTTTTGGTCAACTTTTAATGAAGATTCTCGCGCAATGGCGTCATTTGTGTGTCTGTATCCTTACTGATAATAAAACTTTTCAAATAAAGGCTGGGGGAAATAATTGACAACATTGAGCTTAAAGAATAATCCACTCATAGTGAATGACCTATTGAATATTAAAAAAAAAAAACGCTTCTGACGTTGACTTGCCAATGATGTGGGAATATATCCTGGCCCCGGCTGTCTGAATGAGGTTTTGCCGCAATATCTTAAACTGATAGCTACTACCTTTGTATTGTTTGTTGTTTCGTCGGAAGCTTAGATTGTAAAGGTAAAAGTAATCAGTTTTTGNTTTCTCGTCGTTTTCTTGAGACCCTCTTTTTAATAGTAGCCACAACATAATTTTGAGATATCGCCTTGATTCTTCTCAGTTACTGATATCTGCTCTCAAACGGTTTGCCGTACTGATAACAAGCATTTTAAGCATGCATTGTTTCAAATTGTTTCATTTATAGGTAGCTCCTCAAGCATCTGGCTCAAGTTTCAGATATCTGCTAAATGCCACAAGAAGTATTTGGTCTATGCCACTGTATTTATGACTATTTTTGTTTAATTTTGTTCACCAACTGTTGAATTTATCATTAAGTTTTCCCTTTCAGACCTCGTCCACTGCAAAGCATTTTCGAGGATGTGCAAGTTTTGTACAGATCACATAAACGTTTTATTTCGCAATTTTTTTTCCTGTCAACGGTAAAGCACTCGAAAATGCTGGAACGCTTTCGGAAAGCACGTAACTGTCATCTGCGCATGCGCATGTGATGTGAATGACGTAACCGACAGTTTCGAAAGCCTCTGTAAGGAGTTTCGTTTTCCACATTTACGTGTCTCTACTCTGGAGAGCGAATTCAAATGTAAGCACTTTTGATTTGCTTACATTAACATACAGAAAACTTTATTTTTGCTCAAATTTTGGATAGCTAACACGTTAGCACAACCGACTATTATCATGAAGATAAACAAATCAAAGAGAAAGACGAAAGAAAATCTGTAAAGGAAAAGACCCAACTGCAATTTAAAAAAAATCCTATGATAGTGATACCCAACACGATGCGCATTTTAAAATTACATATATTAAGTGTGGAAGCGTACTCTCACGAATACAGTCAAGTATCTGCGTATGCCAAAAGGTAGGTATTGAGAAAGGTATAGACTCTTTCAATTTCAGTATCAAGCCAGTTTCAATTTCGATGATTCTACTCAAAGATAACAAACCAGTTTTCACTTAAGCTTCATTTGACCGACGTCGCTGTCGTCATTGCAATGTCAACAATACATACACAATACAAGGTTATAACATTACCATACCAGACACTCACATGTGAAATCGAACTAGCGTTCAGATCATTGCCTGAGAAGCAGTTTTTAATGCATTTCTTTTGTTATTGATCCAACATTTTGTCATAACATCGTCAAAGTAGATGTGGATATGGATCCCTGAGGAGCAGTCAAGTGCATTTTTAGAAGATAATGTTATCACCAAATTTATGATCAATAACCTGAGGACAAACCCATTAAAAATTGACGTCAATTTGTTTGTTTCTAACAAAAAATCCAACGTGATAAACGTCGAATTTTGCTTTTAAAAGTGCGAGCGTAAGCCAAAAAAAAAAATCAAGGCATTCACGTCATCATGTACTTCA